GCTGTTTGGAGCAGACCAGACTTCCTCTTGCGAAACCAGGCTAGTGAATTTCTTGATCACATCTCCCCGCCTATCAGTGGCCGTGAGGGACGGTGAGCCCTGTGGCCCTTCCCTGCTCAGCCCCTGATCCTCCGTACCTGGATATCCATCGGGCCCTGGGTTTCCTCCGAGGGCCAAGTTCCACTCGGATGTCCCCCTCTCACACGGGCCGGCTGGCACTGTAATGTACATGGAGCCCACCTTAGCAGCGGAACCACTCCCCCCATCAACGACTGCATGCAGAACCCTGCGGCTTCCAGGGATGTATCCAGCGCCACAGCTGGGTTCTTTAGTTTGTTGTGAAAAGAATTCCAGTATGACACAGCTCCTCTCAGCACAAAGAAGTGCTGGTACACCAGGAAAAAAAAAAAAAAGGAAAGAAAAAAAAATAATAATGCCCCTGAAGGCAACACGGCCCTGGTCTGCTCCTCTCCACGGTAAACAGACCGTGCGGGAACCACGGGGCCCAGAACGCAGGTCCTGGCCACAGGGGCGCCTCGCACGCCTCCCGGGCGTCTGGAGCAAACAGTGCCACTCGCTCTGTGGTCAGATCGGGGACAGCCAGTCCTCCCGTTGTTTGATTTCTAAACTTGCCTCCACCTCCCGGAGGCCTCTGAGAGCTCAGGGCTTGCAAATCAACACAACATTTAATTAACTGCACATTAAAGTTTCCATCTTTCAAGGAAGGGAATTAGGGACAGTACACTTTCTGAAGCATTCATTAATGAAAATATAAATTCTAAAGCCTCCCCGAGTTCCGGGTGGTCCCCCTCCCACTCCCCCGACCCTAGGTGGTTGCCCTCCCTAATTCTCAGGGCTGGGGTTGGGCCGGTCCCTCCACATAAGCTGCCGGTGTCTGGGGTCGCCTTCCAGGGGGGCATTGTTAACCCTCTGAGATCCAGCCTTGGTTCCGCCACACCCCAGAGGCCTCTGAATTATCCCCAAGAGTTCTCAGGAAATACTCAAAACTGTCTCTATTGATACCGACTGGTGAGCGCTTTCTCATTAAAATGAAAGGTGCAGAGAAGCACTGTTAAGACATGCCTGGATAATATGATTAAATATTGTCTGCCGCCCACGGAATGGGTGTAAGTTACCAGCACCCCCTGAGGATGACAGAGACACCTGGACCACCCCAGAGGAGGGACAGGGGAGACAGCGATGGAAGTACAATGAGACAAACCAGAAGGTATCTAGGGCAAGTCCCCTTGGACAGCCTGGACCCTCCATGACACCAAAACTACCTGATGATTCAGGCTGAGGCCACAGACACGCACACGCGCACACACACGCTGACCGGAGATCAAAATCCACCGTGAGCGCAAAGCGCATCGGTCGGGAGCCAGGGGATGCCGGTCGCGTTCCTACCACAAACCCACTCTGCTCCGCTCCCACTCCTCAGCCGAAGCCCTTGCTTACACCACTGCCAAGATCACCGGCAGCGCTTTCTATCAGAGTTCATTGCCGTGTCTCTCTAAAAAGGGACGGTCTTGCAAGGCCTCGTTTTGTTACTTCTCTGGGTCTGTGTCTCCTCCCGATATCGCGAAGCCTTTGAGAAAAAGGAGTGGATCGTATTTAGTTTCATACTACACGTTCTGCGCATTTACTTAGTCATGCTCATCTGTCATTTCCAAGACGTGCCAGCGACGGGGCGTCAGGATCTAGATGCTGGCCTTGCCCTCCTCGAGGAGGCAAACAGCTAAACAGGTACGCGGACTAATTACAAATTCTAATCCGCGTTGGGCAGGTGAGACAACGAGGGCCTAAGGTAGGAAATGATGGAGAAGTGCAACGTCGAACTGGGTGTTTAAGGACGGCTTCTGCGGAGGGGACGTTCAAGGTGAGTCACAGAAGGAAGGGAAGGAGTTAGCTCTGTAGCCAGCGGTCGCTTGCACACCGCAGACACGCAACCGGAGATTCCGGATTTCTTGATCACTGTTTATCCACTAGATCCAAAACATTCAAATTAGGAAGAAAACGTGGTCGAAATATACTTGTGCAGAGGCAAAGCAACCAGGAAGTGAGTTCTCCACTCTCCCGGAGGAGGCAGGGCGTGGTGTGGCCCACGGGCTCCTGTTCCCTCGTGGGCTCATCCAAGCCAGCGAAGCACACTCCGGGCTCGGCCCTTGCTCATCCTCTGCCTCTACCTCTTTTTTCAGATCTCGGGTCCGTACCGGGACAGCAACCAATCCACCAGAGAATTCTAGGTTCTCACCCACAGTTCCTTTACGCCCGTCACTTCTCTCTGGTCTTTGGATTTGCTCACTGATGTGGCATCATGCAGAAGACAGCATCTCAGTGCCTTGGGTTCCGGCCCTTGAAGTCTCCCGTGGCATCATCCCCTATCACAAGATGGCGAGGGAGGTGCCCGTAGTCATCAGACCCCACAGCCGGTGCGGCAGGCTCTGGGTCACCGAAGTGAGTCACATCTTGCGATGCAAGAGTGATCTGGACCCCCCCCAGACGGCCCAGCCACTTGGCCCTCGCCGTGCCTGTCACCGAGCCCCCGCTCTTCTTTCCCTGCGTTATGGCTGTGAGGCTGGGACACATTCTCTTGCCCCCTCTAGGCTCTGTCCAAAGGAAAACTTATCGAGCGAGGCAGATTCTCCTGACTGCACCGTGACTGATACGCTCATCCCAGGGATAAGTGCTGTCTCTGATTATTTAATCAATAATTACTGCCCACGGGCCCAGGGACCTGTGAGGCACACCTAGTGGGGGGAGGAGACGAGGCGAAAACATCTGTATCTCTGTGCCCTGATGGGCACCAACAACATCTGGCTGCAAGATGTGCCTCCCCACTCCTTGAATCTGTCTGATGCCACTGACTGCCTTCCTCCCTTCTTTCCTCTCTCCTGCCTTTCACCATCCGGGGGGGGGGGGGGGGAGGCCCAACCCTGCATTACACCATTAGGGCCACACATATGATGATAAATCCAGTCCTTACTCTCAAAATCCCGGTCGAGTGGAGATCTGTGAGCAGACAGTGCCACGGCAGGGACAGGGTGGTCGCTGCAATGATCAAAATAGAGGAGGGAGCTTAGTAAACACCAGGAAAGTTTAGAAGATGCTACGTCAAGAAGCACATTACTGAGTGTAGAGTCATTTTGCGGGTCCGTGTGCTGGCGAAATGGCTTCCGACGAGTGAGCCAAAGTCAAGGAAGGCCCTCGCCTTCATTCTGAGAGTCTAATCAGCAGGTTTGCGTTACAGGTCCAGAAGCCACTTGTCTTCTCTTAGGGTATGTAGTAGCCACCCAATTATTTCATTCTGCTAGCATCTCTTCAAGAATCAGGGAACTACCGTGCCCCCTTAAAACCATCAGCAGGGATCAGCCACTCCAATGGGAATGCCCTCCAGGGCATTCGGACCCAGGAGTAATACAACGGAACCCCAGTGGTTGCCAAATGCTTTCTGCTGCAAAATTTTGATGGCTGGTGCTTCTTTAGCCTGGCCCAAGATTTAATTTGTGTTGCTACAGAACACTTTCATTTGTCACCGACAAAAGGCAATATTTCCAATATTCCTTGAGAATAGACTTCAAAGGTTTCAGCTCTTTTTTAAAAAAGCTTTTCAGCTTTATTTTGACGTGGCAGAAAAGTTTTGCATGCATCCTCGCATCCACTGTTGTGACAGCTGCATTTAATGAGTGCAAAATGATCAGAAAAACATCCTTTGCTGTGGGTTGCCAGTTGGTGACAGGGGAGAGGTGATGCTGTAATCAGAGCAGTGAAGTCACGCACACATCTGCTGAGGCAGAATCTCTGCCTGTCTGGTCTATACCAGGCAGCTCAGTGCATGGTCTCGAAGCCAAATGAGACCTGCACACCGATATCCAACGGACCCCCTTCTTCAAACAGCAGGGCAAGACTCACTTGGGTCACATCCGGCCACTGTTGCTGGAGGTTCATTCACATCTCTTTCTGAATCTTCCATATAGTTATCTTTCTGAGAGGTCTTTCTGGCTAATCTAACATATTTTTAATTAACAAACTCATGGTGGGGGGGGGGAGGCAAACTTTAAATAATTCACGTGTGAAGGCCCAAATCAGACAATGAAGGTCTTCCCTTAAATACGGAGAGATGTAGTAGATTAAACTATTGTTCGGCATATGTTCATTTCCCTGCCCCCCCCACCACACACACACATGCACACACACGCACACACACGCACACACTGACCTCCATGGGAAGAATTGACTTTATCGCACCGACGTGGAGCTTGACAGTGGGACTTCCTTTGGCCAATGAAAGGTGGGCAGACACGACCATAAGCCAGTTTGGAGTCTAGGTGGCAAGGCACTGCATGTTTACGCTCACTCCCCTGAGAGCTTCCCCTTCTACCTTGAAAAGATCAGGAGCCGGATAATTTCCGGATGACCCTTACAGAAGGAGAGTCCGGTGAGACAGACCTGAATTGGACCTGAAGCATGGAACAATCGCCGCGACTGGCCCGTGCACCTGCAGAGCACAGCGGAGGGGAGCTGCCTACCTGAACCCAGCCTAGTCCAGCGAAGCCACAGATGACCCACAGCCCTGGAAGCGTGGGCAAAAATGGCGGTTGACGTAAGTCGCCGAGATTTGGAGCTGTTTGTTATTCAACATCATTGTGTTGTTTCATAAGCTTTTCAGAGAGATCACCAACAATGTATGCCTGATTGTGTGAGAGAAAAAATATTCCAGCTGTGCTAGATGCCTATAGCTCCACTGACATGGTGTAAGGGAAAGCAGATGGAGCAGATACTCAAGCCAATCAATCCTATTTATGCAAGGCACGATGAATGACAACGCCACGCTTAACTGCATTTTTCACCTTTTGGTTTCATGTTGGGGTCATGGAGTTGCACTTAATCTGGACGGAGGAGCAGCTTCAGTAAGGCTTCCAAAGCGTATCTTTGGCCCCAACAGTCTTTCTCGCTTGTTACCTTCTCACACCTTACAGGGGCAAAGTAAAATGACCTACCTGTGTCTGTCTCTTCACCTGGAGTCCCGGTTTCATTTCCACACGGCCCCATTTCCAATCGGCTCTCTTTTCTCCATCGTGGAAAGACAGCAAAAACAAACCGTCACAGGGAGCCCTTATGACAATTTACTCTTGAGGGGAGAATCCTGTGGGTGTCCAAAAGCTTACTGTAAGTTATATTTGCTTAATTTATGCTTCTACTGACAAATAATTAGGGCGGCAATTAATTTGAAAATGCAAATGTGCAATGGGTCTCACTGTTTTCTTTTGCTTTGTTTTCAGGAGTCTTTGTCCTCAGTTCTACTTGTGTTAGGGTCTTAATGGATTTAGTTTAGCAAAGGAAAGAAATTATTTTTTCTAATGCTTTATTTACCTGATTGAATCGGACTTTTTATCAAATATTGACTACAAATGTTTGCTCAAGATCATATGCCATACAATTTAATAGAAATAAAAACCTGTGCTACAGACCATCATTTTTTACGTGTCTTGCGTGTAATCTACCTGAATGCCTACCGCAGGGGAGGCCCTCACTAAATAAATATCTGGGGGGTGTTGTAAGAAGAAAAAGTGATATTTTGGAACCACGAGGAGCAGGACACGGGACCCCAAAGGAGAGATGCCTTTCTCAGCGTACAATATGGTAGGAAGGTGGACTGCTCGGAAATGTACCGAGGAGGAAAAAAGGATGGAAACAGGGGCTTTCCAGGAGAAGATAGGCAAGAGGTTGCCCAAAGGGCAAAGTTAGGAGTACACGGCAGGTGTCAACGAGTCCCGGAGGAAGAAGCGATCTGGACAGCTTGGGGAACGCCAAGATTTCCCGGGAACGTGGGATCCCCTGGGAAGTGGCAGGGACTGGGGCGAGACGGGAAGGGAGGCCCCAAGCAGATGTCATCTTACGCCCAGATGAGGAACCTTCAGCTTTCTCTGCAATCAGTGTTGATTGCTGATTGATTGAAACTTTTAGGTGCCAAATTACTAATTAGTGTGAGTCGTCCACCCTGGGCAGAAAGCTGAGCCCTCTCTGATGACAAATCTGTAAGGCTTCTCCACTGTTATGCGACGCGGCTCAAGGATGCAGCCAAGACCTAATCAACTAACTCAAAAAGAGTAGTTGGTCACTAACCACACAAGGCAGATGTAGCTACATTTTTCTTCCATTATCTAAATGTTTAAAGGGAAATCAGCACTTTGGTCTGAATCACCTAGTAATCCCACAATGCTTTTGGTACACATTCAAGGTAAACTTAAAAATGAATATCTTTTTTTTAAAAAAATGTTATATTTATTTCTGAGAGAGAGAGAGAGAGAGAGAAAGCATGAGGAGGGGAAGGGCACAGAGAGAGGGAGACACAGAATCCAAAGCAGGCTCCAGACTGAGCTGTCAGCACAGAGCCCGATGCGGGGCTCAAACCCATGGACAGTGAGATCACGACCTGAGCTGAAGTCAGACTCTCAACCGACGGAGCCACCCAGGTGCCCCCAAAATAAATATCTTCAAGACTAAACCTCATTCATGTAAAAAGTCCATCTTATAACAACGTTAAAGTTGTTTGCCTCTCTTTTTACCCATATAAGAAAATATTTCATGCACCAAAAACTAGTGAAAGACTATCACACAGGCTGGTTTTCTGAATTGCTTTCTTTTGTTTCATGGACTTTTCTGTTTTATTAGGGGAAAACCCATTAAACGAAGCCCGTATGCAGCCACAATCACTTGCCTTCTGCCTGCGTAGGTTGAGGTCATCAGTAAGTGGTAGCAGGCCACTTCTAATCTAATTGTGAATTCCTGTCATGTATACAGACTTCAGCCCAGGGGATGACAAGGATTTTTGAACTTCAAAAAAAAAAAAAAAAAAAAAAGGAAGAATCACAATAAATATTTCATTGTCTAGTCAACCCAATTTGCTAAGCCTGATTATCTCGTTCAGCCTCCCGAGATTGCTACAGGAAGCTCCCCAGATGTTCTCCTTCTAGCCAAAATTACCACTGTGTGTCAAAAAGGTGGCCCCACATCTGCATTCTGGAAGCCCAGCTGTCAGGGAAAGGGAGAGGAGAGAGAAGGTCGCACCCACTGTGGGAGACGCCTGGACGTCACTTGCCACCCTGCCAGGCCACTTAACCGGTTCCTGAATTGGGTTAATTGACCAATGATTGATCAAGCCTTTTTTCTCAGGCTTATACTCTGTTCCAAATTGCGATGGTCAGAGAACACGTGGACGGAGAGTTCCTGAAGCAGCAGGGAGCTAATTACCCCCACTTCCCTAAGTCAACAGAAATCCTGAAAGGACGGTGCTGAGTGAACAAAAATTGGGCAAGAGCCTGACGAGCTCTTGGGGGGTCCTTTCTGTGGGCCAAGGCTCTCCCCTTTCTCTTTCTGAGCAACACAGCCCAGTGGTTGTCAGTAACAAGGGGACCCAACATACTTGTGTTATTTGTTGTCAAAATAATCTTTTAAATCCATATTACTTATGATAATTCTTCAGATACCGGCACTTGTAGTAGGACAAAATTAGGACTTTACTTTGTCCTTTTCCCTACCACTGTTAAACCCCATCCGTTTCTTGGAGGTGATCACCGTGGCTGTACCCACACAAAATCTGTTCCCAGCAAAGAGCTTGGATGTAACAGGGAATAAGACAGAACCTAACACCCTTACAAGAGATGATCCCGCCACAGACCAGCCCCTGGGAGTTGGACCAGCCAAGCAAAAATTCTTGAAGGAGCTCTTCCCGAAGAATTCTTGTTTGGGGTTTGGGGAGGCCACGAAGCCAAGGTTTTTTTTGAAGGTAAATTCAACACTCCTGTAGCTCGGCTGCACTCAATGAGTACAATCACCCCATGACAAAGAGCGTCATGCTTGCGGCAACCCCATCGGAGGGGCAGAAAACCCGAGTTCGCACAGGAGATTAGAACGAGTTCAACCTAACACCTCGGAGAACTCAGGCGATTCCCACTTGCGTGGCAATTTCAGGAAAGACAGGAATTTGGGGTTCCCTGCCTGTTTCAGTTTTCCAGCCCAGGTTTCAAGGGATGAAGAGTTTCTAGTGCTGTAGGCAATGATAAATCATCTACTGCAAGCTGACTGGGATGTCTGTATGGGCTTCTCATAGGAAATTCTATGTAGGCCCTATAACTGAATTATTGACACCAGAATTTTATAATCGTGGTATAAAGACTGAACTATTTTACCCATAAAATAACAGGGTTAGGCAGGCACCTATTTCTTTGACACCAATGAGAGAGGAAGGTTTCTGATCTTTAAAAACAAAAAACAAAACTCTCAAAAAGGTGAACTAAGACCCAACTGCCAATTACCTGGTTAAAAAATGTCCTAGCTGAAGTTAGGAAAAATTTTTTAGCTGGCTTTCATGGGCCTCCCATAGAAAACTTGATGTAAACTGTCCCGTTTAGATATGCCATGTTCATCAGTATCACTGATCTGCTAGCAGGTAAGTGTGATTATAACAGTATTTAGAAAATAATTATAAGACAGCATTTTGGGAATGAGCTTGTGCTACTCCCCTTCGGTTTCACCCTCATCTCTACCTACTTCCAGCCTCTCAAAGCACACAAACAAACAAAAAGCACATACGCACACGCCCCCCCAACACACACACACACACACACACACACACACAGAGCTTGGGGATCACAAATATCAGTGAGGACAAGACAGTTCTCCTGATTCATGTTCTTATATTATGTTCCATGCTCTTCTTCCTCCATGCATGACCTAATTCTCTAGGCATGTCTTTCTGAACGGAACGGATTACATCTGTAAATAAAGCATGGATAAAGTGACCTTAAGTTTGAAAGTATAGTCTGATTTTAAAAATAAAATTCCTATCTTACCAAATATCTGCTAGGTCCATTTATTATCCTTTTGTTTTATTGTTTGTTTGTTTGTTTGTTTTCTTTTGCACCAGTCACCAGAGATGTGCTTAACACCTGCATTTAAGTGGCATAGACTCAGAAAATACCCAAAATGAGAAGGTAGTATTGGCATCCAGGGGAATGTCAAGTTCCAGTTACTACTGTTTTAATATTATCTCAGTGATGAGTCACCATACTGAGCAGTTTCACGAAAAAGGAAAAGATTTCAGACTGATATTTTGAGGGGATACATAGGAGGTTACTTAGGGAACTGAGAAGAGATTAAAGGTAGTGAAGAATCCAAAGAAAAATCAGAGAGAAATTTTGTAAATAGAGGGCTGGGTGATCATTTCCGAACAGAGTCACGCTCTCTTAAACAAAACTCAGAATAGTGAGTGCTAGAGGAATCAAATATGTCTTTAAAATTACTGTATCACAACATACAACATTGACAAAAAGCTTTACCCACAGTGTTACTGAAGATTTGGAGTATTGTCAGAGAGCTGAAGATTGAGAAGAGATATTTAACAGGATCCAGAACTACGTTAAGAAGGGCATAAATACACCACATTAACAAAATAAAGGACAAAAATTACATGATATCATCAATTGATGCAGAGAAAGCATTTGAAAAAAAAAATCAACATCCTTTCACGATCAAAAAATTAAATAAAGTAGGAAAGAAGGAAACTGCCTCAACACAGTCAAGACTGTCTGTGAAAAGCTCACATCTCTCAATGGTTAAAGACTGAAAGCATTTCATCTAAAATCAAGAACAAGAGAAGGATACCCCATCCTACCACTTCTATTCACATAGTACTGGAAGTGCCGGCCAGAGCAATCAGACAAGAAAAAAATTAAAAGCATATAAATTAGAAAGGGAACAGTAAAATTATCTCTGTTCACAGATGATATGATCTCATATGTAGAAAACCTTAAAGACTGCATACACACACACACACACACACACACACACACACACACAGACTGTTAGAGCTGATGAACAAATTCAGCAAAGTGGTGGGATACAAAATCAACACACAAAAATCAGTTGTGTTTCTATACACTAACAATGAAGAACCAAAAAGGAAATTAAGAAGACAACCCCCTTTATAATAGCATCAGAAAGAGTAAAATACTTAGAAATTAGACCAACCAAGGAGGTGAAAGACTCGTACACTGAAAACTACAAAACATTCCTGAAAGAAATTAAGGACACACAAAAAAATGGAAAAACATCCCATGTTCATGAATTGGAGGATAACATTGG